TGCCCAGCTGCCACACTTTTTCTAAAAGTATTTTCTATTATTTTTACTAGTTTTCCTCAGTAATTAAAGCATTCATCTTGCCTCAGAATCTTGCTGTGCAATAGGAGTCACTCTATGACTGGTCCCCKGGGACAGGGGGAAAGCAATAAGCAGGGGACACGTACTGGGCTCCTTCCTATTGCCCCATTGCAGGGACTACTCCTGAGAGATCACCAAAACATTCATGTCAAAAAAATTAGATGCTGATAAATATCATCAACATAGACCTGGTCAGTGTGATGAAGAATATTATTGAAATCTAAATTTACATATTCAAATATCTACAACTTATTATTTATAGGTACGAGAGTTCCAGATAAGTATGGCAAACGTATTTGCTATTGGAATTTCTAACGTTTCATATTTGGATCATAAAACAACTTTGTTTTTTAAAACATCCCGCAATAATTTGCTGCTAAATTTGTTGACAAACAAAAAGGTGAAGTTTTGGTAAAAGCTACTAAACACTTGGAAAGTAATCCAATCTATCTTAGAGCAACTTAGCCTTTCTGTTTTGTTCTACATTTACAAAGATTGTGCTTCCACGTGATTTAGACCATTTTTGTTATTATTATAATCAGTCTCTAGATTTAAAATATTTCTATGAAAGTCATGCTGAAAACTATAGATGAATTTTTCACAATCATGTTTATTGCACTCGTTTGCCCCGAACCCAAATATAAATGATARTTGTTATGCACACTTGAAAATACTGATGGGTCATAATTATTGTTAAGATGGACGAATGAACCACAAATTAAACTCTTGAACTTGTAAGTAAGGGGAATTAAATTACCCTTTAAAATTTCAACCATAAAATCAATTACATTATATAAAAGCAGAGATTCCCAGTCACCCATGGAATCACCAGCTCTGAGAGCAGAATAAAACTTAACTCTCACATATTTATTGGTATGTGAAGAACTGGCTTCCAAGAAAAGGGTCCTTCTGCACATGACAGGTATTGGCACAGAATCTCTGAACAGAGAAGCCTGATTTCATGGTGAGAGTGTGGTCATGGGGCAGGTGGATTTCAGTGGTGGAGAGGAAAGAAGCAAGGTGTTTTCACTGGGCTCTGAAGACAAACCAGACTTTTCTGCAGCAGGCAGGAATATGGCTTACAGAATGTAATCTGGATTTCGAGAAGAGGGAGCAGCTTTAATCACAGTTACAAATTAAGATAAAGGGAAAAAAATTAGGAGAAGTTAACTTCAGGTGGAATTAAAACCTAGAAAATGATGTAAGAAATCCAGAGACCCATGAAGGAGCATCTTGCCCCAAGGATATTATCATGGCTCAAATACTAAAACGCTAATGGCAACAATCAAATGCCAGCACATGGGTGTCTCCACGTTAAATATGGTCCAATTCCATTTCAGTATCTCTGCTTTAGCCCACGTCTCCATTGTCTCTCACGTGGACTATGATAATAGCCTGCCTTCTCCTTATTCCCACCATCCGTGCCTCTCATAGCAGGAGCAGGGAACTTGGGAAGTGCCAATTAGGTCACACTACTTCCTTGATGGCTTGGGGTAGAACCTCCCACTCCTCATCATGGCGACCTGAGTCCAGAACATAGCTTGACCACCTTCCCTTCACGTCCCCTCATACTCATTTCCTCTGGTGACAAGGTTTTCTCCCTGTTCCTTGAATACTGAAACTCATCCCTACCCCTTTGAGCAAGATCCACCTGGAATGGTCTTCCAGAGGTCACAGGGTTCTCTGCTTCCTGTGGCCTCTGCTCAAATGTTCAGGTCCACAGAGACAGCCCTGTCCTGACCACTCTTCTTGAAATAGAGGATCCCAACCCTAACTACTGCTTGACTCTTAACTTTCCTTTTACTTTATAATTCTTCCTGCTATTCAAAAGTGTATTTATACATGTGTGTACTGATGCATGTGTTTCCGTCAGCTTTTTTTTTTGCTGCTACAACTAAAAGACCTAGCTAGTAAGAACAACTTGTGGGCTCACAGTTTCAGAGGTCTCAGTCCACAGATGGATGGCTCCGTTCCTCAGGGCCCGAGGTGAGGCAGAATRTCATGGTGGAAGACTTTGGTGGAGGAAAGTGACTCAGGACATGGCACCAGGAAGCAGAGAGAGAGAGACCAGTGCCCCTCACCATGAACAAGATAAAATATAAACCCCAAGGGCCCAGTCTCATCAACCCACCTCCTGCAGCCAGTCCCCACTTGCCCAAAGTGACCCAGTTAATCCCTATCAGGACGTTAACACACTGACAGTTAAGGCTCTCAAACCCAATCATTTCACCTTTAAATTTTCTTGTATTATCTCAACATGAGCTCTTGGGGGATATCTCATATCTAGACCATTACAGCATGTACACATATGTATATAAATATCTATATCCAGTGTTTTGTTTCATTTCCTGCTATTGGTTGTCTCTTGTTCCCTCCAGTTAAATATATACTCTTCTTGGAAAACAGAATGTTTTGGTCACAGGAAGTGCTTCATAAAATTAGCTCTAATTACTACTGATTTTTTACTAGTCTGTCACCCACTGTGGTCTAATTCAGTGTAACCTTTGTAATTATAATTTGTCTTTCATAGAATCTACCTGCAGGGGGAAAAAAAGAATCTTTAGCTATAAACTTGGAAACAACTCTGATCTGTTTGATAGTAATGTTGTAAATCGCTAAATTAATGCTTTATCTTATAAGCATGGTTTTATTAACTGGACTGGGGCCCTTTCCTGACAGAATGGTCGACCCTGTGGTAAGGGGTAGTAGTAAAGATAAAAGTAAGTCCCTCTCGTGGTCTCTCGACAGTCATGAGCTGCTCCTGACTCCTTCTTTATGAATCTTTCTCTCAGTGTCGCTACACAACATCAAGTCAGTGTACTCAGTCACCTCTAAGTAGCAAGGAAGAAATCGTATAAACAGATCTTTATTAACAGCAGATGTAACTTTTCCAGAGATCTTTTATTCCTGCCTTCCCTTTTTATTTTCACTGACTTTGACCTAAACATCATCAAGATTTCCATCTTTAAAACTTTCCAGTGACACTGCCGCTCTTAAATCTGAACACATATGGAGACGTCAAAGGCCTGACTAATTGCCTCAATGAAGATGAAATCTCTTCGATCCTTATTCAAATTATAGCCCATGATTGATGGCAAAGGACTCTAGCCTGTTCCAAAGCAGTTTTCTGATGTCATACCAGTCCTTCATTACAGCCACCTGAAATCAAATTAAGGCCAGGATTCCTATCAGACACAATATATAGAGACTCGCCATCTCTATGAAGTTGAAATTCATACCAAGGAGGAAAGGTCATCCACAGGCAAACGGCAGCATATTTCACTGAAAAATTCGAGGACAATTTCAGCCCTCTCAATTTCCAAGAATAGTAAGGCTATTTCCAAGCTACTGACAGATTTTAAATTGCCATATCTTTTGTTGTGGCGCTCTCTCTCTCTCTCTCTCTCTCTCTCTCTCTCTCTCTCTCTCTCTCTCTCTCTCTCTCTCTCTCTCTCTCTCTCTCTTTTGAATTTAAGAAATATTTATGTCAATTTCATGACTGGCTTTCCAAAGTGGTATTAGAAGTTTCACTTCCCTTCTCAAGTATTCATTAGTATTTCCCATGCTCTCGAATAAGTCAAGTGGCCACAAGATCATAATTACGTTGTCTAAATTACTCACAGAAGTTTTCATTAAACGTCTTTTGAGTGAAAGAATGAATAATAGAAACAATGAGTACATAACAAATTCATTGGCACTCCTAAATATATCTTGGTCAAACATAGCACAAGCTTCACCCGTTGCATGAGAGAGGGCTAATAAGTCCAGAGTGTTAGGCAACAGGAAGAATAATTGGGGGAGGGGAGGTCTATGAATTCCCTTCTAAATACAACCCTTGAAAATGTTTGCAATACAATTTCAGACAATCCATCATTTATCCTGTTTACTACATCTTCATTTACATTATACAAGCAACGATCAAATGGCTTGAACTTCGTGGTCCATAAGTTCTGCAATTAGCCAAGATGTAAAGGAGAATGAACACATCCCAAAGAATTCCACTATCAAGCCTCTAATGCCAAGCCAACAGATTCAGAAAATAGAGGAACAACATCTGGATATCAATATGATGTAGGTGATCGGCAGACAACACAAAAATGGGCTGAGGGAAAGTAGCAGAGAATCAGGTGAAACTGGTAAAGCCGTGGATTCTATACTCCACTCTTCCCCCTCCCCGCTTCTTGCTACTGGCCTGTTTTTGATGCAACATATGTTAGGATGGGGGTTGGGGCTGGTTTGTACTGGCCAGAATTACAAGGAGCGTTCCTCAATCCCAGGAACAGAGATAAACATTTTCTATATCATACCAAAAGCACTAATGAAATAAACGAACTTGAACAAATCATATACTCTGTAATATGAAGAATACAGATTTGCAGGTTTAGGAATTAGTCACATACAAACTTAAATCTCATTTCCTAGGTGGATTTGTGTGTGTGTGTGTGTGTGTGTGTGTGTGTGTGTGTGTGTGGTGTTGGGGTTGAACCCAGGGCCTTGTGCATGCAAGGCAAGCACTCTACCAACTGAGCTACATCCTCAGCCCTCCTAGGTAAATTCTGAAGGCAAGCCAAGCCCCTGAAACTCAATTACGCCATCTGTAAAGTAGGGAGAGTACTTATTTCACAGGCTGGATACAAGGAAGAAATGAACCACCTAGCACAGACTGGCACAGGTGGCACATGGGTTTCGTCTGTTGTTATTTGTGGTGCTGGAGATTGGACCCAGGGTCTTGCACGTGCTAGGCAAGTGCTCTACCACTGAGCTACTTGCACAGCCCCTGGAGCATGGGTTTTTAATAAGAGGTGATTTGTTTTTGCTGTTGGTTACTATTATTATCATTTGTATAGTTAGTGTGATTTTATTTTGGCCCATCTCTGTACTAACATGAAACTAAATGACCAATGGCTTAAAAGAGAACTTACCCACGAAGAGCTGACTGTTGAGCTGTAATAAGACATGCCCATCAGCTGGAGCAGCCTGCGTCTTTGGGGATAGCTGGTCCACCTGAATGGAGGCCTCTTTCATGTTTCTTTCAACTCTAACATGATGCCACTGGTTGTCGTTGAAGTGGGTGGGAGACTGCACTGAGATTTCGAGAGGCCCATTCCCCACGTCAAATGAAAAGGTCACTGTTGTTGGAGCTGGAAATATTAGACATGAAGACTGTTCAAGTGAGCTCACGAGGCAGAGCTGAGTGTGCAACACACTTAGGAATAGCACCACCGCACAATCATCGCTGAATGTAAAGAAAATAGCTTGAATTTTATGGAAGAAACCAATAACATCAGTATAGAAAAGGGTCTTTGGATGTGGGATGAGATGATAAGATACATTTGTACTTTTGGAAAAAAACACAAATTTTAAGGAATTCATGCCCTAAGTTAATTTTTCATATTTATTAAGGGTAAGCTACTTAGCCAGGGCATGAAAACGAAATTTTATATAAAAATAATTGTTTTCACAATTTGAAATCTATATAATTTTACAGGCATGCAGCATGCATTTGATGTTAAGAGAGGAAGAGCAACCTATGAGCACATCGAGTTCACATAAGTGGTTGGTCTAATTAAGTCATTTTGTATTTAACTGAAATTTTTGGTTTTGAATTTTAATGATTTGAATTTAAGATCTTCTTCAATTGTTTCTAGAAAATAACACTAATTTCCCCATATTTCACAAGTTAAATATCAAACTAATTTTTTTGTGTGAAAATAATGTTAATATCAGAGAATTTTTACAAAGGGACACAAGAAGAAAAGATTTAGCCTTTAAAGTAGAAACATGAGTTCTTTAAAAATTAGTTAAAGGATTTATGACTAAAAACTAGATTCCCACAGACTTCTCTGCAAAGGAGACTTACAGCGTAGCTCTATTCGTATGAAATCAGTAATTCCCAGGTTCTCTAAAAACACCCCCGATAGAGCTGTTGTCTTAAAAAAAAAAGACACATCAGCGCTAAGTTCTCCATGGAAAGTAGGGAAATGAAGGTATGAGGCCTCAGTATTGAAGGAAGCAGAATTCCAAAATGACCCTGTTAAAAAAAAAAAAAAAAGAAGAAGAAGAAAAATTCAAAAGTAAGAAAAATTCAATACACACATGAATGATATATAGTATTTTTTATATCAATCATTCCCACTATTTAAAGCACTGCTCAGTTGTATAAACTGCTTTTGTTTTTTTCTATTAATTGTGTGAGACACAAGACATGAACTTAAAGACTGAAGATTTTACAAGAAAATTCTGGATTCCTTCCAACAGGAAGGGAATGATAGGTACTGAAATGGCTTAAAGAGAAGAAAATATCCCAGCCTCTACTTTTCCCTGCCAAAGGGATATTTTAAGGCTCCACCAAACATTGATGAATACTGAATTTTTTATTACTTGAAAATGTTAATTTTTATTCAATACTAATTGTTACTCAAAGCCACTTATCTGCTTTGAATAACAAAATTCCTAAAGAAGCTCATACTGGTTCTTGTTCCAACACACACAACTTCACAGAGCTACCTTCTCAACCATTTCCATGCATGGGCCTTGTGATTTCCTAAACTGAGACTGGCATTCAGAATAGTATCATTCAAATAAAGACCAAGGCAAATTACTCTGTGCTGTGCAGATATTCTCATAAAAATATTCTTTTCCTTCAAAATCATTTCTTATTTTGCTTTTAAGAGGGAGGTAGATGACCACCAGTAGAGGAAAAAGCATTCTCAACAAATTTACAGAGGCTTACAATCAGAAAATGCTTAAGAGTTTTGAGATATAAATGAACAATATATGTAAGCTTTGAAGTTAATTATAATTATTCAAATACAACTTTTGATCTCTACTTTCTCATGCCTGGTTTTTCTTTATAACTGTAATTTTTCTTTTGAAAAAAAAATATTGCAGGGGTTAATACAGCAGAAAACATGGAAAATACAGAATAAATGCAATGCCATCCAGCTGGATACACACAGTGGAGGAGGAGGATTATCAAAGAATGAACTGTGCATTGCAGCTGCCCCCAGCAAGTTTTCTGCACATCAACCAGGAATTGACATCTTTAGTTTGAGGCAACTGTCTCCATGGGCACTCCCAACACTGGGTAGAATTCTCCTATCTAAATGACCTTCCTCTGGAGTCAAAATAGCCATTGCAAAACAACAGCTAGTTACGTTAGAGAAGAACTCTACCTAACTACTTAAAAATCACAAACTTGACTCTGCGTCTACATGTCCCTTCGATTTTAACTTGTTTCCTATAAATTCTGGACTAAACAGTTCTTACAACTATTTTATTTTTTTTCTGTTTTTCTTGTGGACCTGATTCAAAAGTCAATTCTTGTTTTTGTATTTGGACAATTTGAGAACTGAATTTATTCAGCTGAGAATAATCTTACGTGGAGGATTTTTTTTCCCCCTCAGAGTCAAAATGAAACTATATATTATCTGAGTCACGTCATGCTTAGCCCTTATGTCCTTTTCAAAGCTATTTCTATGTTTACACACTTTAGTCTCTGGAAAGGAACATAAGAAAATATATAATATCAAGTCAGAGATAACAACACATTTGTGTTCTTGAAAGTCCTTACCTGGTCTATTTTTAAACGGAATTCGACACCCTTCTGGTGAAATGTTGAATGTGGAAATTAAAATAAAGCTGCAACATTTCGGAATATTATTAAATCTTATTGTGTCTGATTAGAAAGGGAACATTCAGAATTACTTAAAGGTTTGAATTAGATAATATTATTACAAAACATAGCATTTCATTTGTTTCAGATTGTAGCATAACTAACCTAATAAAGCATCATATTGAAGGCTTCAGGGAACTCGTTGAAACAGAGGAACAATTCTGTGAATTGCTGCTGTCTGTACAATGGATGCTTTTATAGTAATGAAAACAATTCGTTACGTGAGGTAGCTCAAACACTCCCATCCACACAATAGTGGGTTTTGTTTAGTTATTTTTCAATTCACAATACGTACAAAATGAAATAAGGACACTTTATGGGATTAAGAAATTGCTGCTAATTCAAAACAATTATAAAGAAAGTAAAGGCCAATATTTACATGATCAAATAATGTTAATGGCATATGATATCTCGGCTCTGCATACACTGTGCTAAGATGCACCCAGAATAATCTGAGGGACCTTAGAGAAAGACGAGACAAGAGGAGGCAGAGCAGAGCTCAACAGGCAGCAGGCAGGTGGGAGCAGGAATTGGAGTCCTTGAGAGAGAGTTCTGTGAGCAAAGGGCTTGAAAATCCCTGAGCTGCCCCAGGAACAGATCTGAAGGCATGCTGTGCAAATTCAAGCCCTTTTACTATCTCAACAAAATCATACTATGATGCATTATTCCAAGTAATAATACTTAATAATTATTCTAAGTAATAATACTTAACAAACTGATAATATTTATTTTCAATTGAATTCAATATAAAGTACTAGAGATTTTAAATTCCTTTGGGAATTTAAATACCATCTTTTATCTTTCCATAATACGTGTGTATGTAGGTATAAATAAAAACAGAGTCCACAAATTATTTACATAGAAGATATACTGACCCCCTATATACAATTAATTTACTCTTATGTTAAAATTATTACCCTATGTGCACATATGATTACACAACCTGTGTAACTCTACATCATACACAGCCAGAAGAATGATAAGTTAGATTCCATTGATGTGTGCTGTGTCAAAATGCATTCTACTGTCATGTGTAACTAATTAGAACAAATAAAAATATTTTCAAGATTATATGTACTTTTAAAAAATAATTGTTTAGGGCTGGGGATGTGGCTCAAGCGGTAGCACGCTGGCCTGGCATGCGTGCGGCCCGGGTTCGATCCTTAGCACCACATACCAACAAAGATGTTGTGTCCGCCGAGAACTAAAAATAAATATTAAAAAATTCTCTCTCTCTCTCTCTCTCTCTCTCTCTCTCTCTGTCTGTCTCTTACTCTCTCTCTAAAAAAAAAAGCTTTAAAAAAATTGTGCGCTAAAAAATAATTGTTTAGCTCAACTTTCGTTTATCTTCTTCACAGACTAGGCTTTTAAATAGAGCAGATTTATAAAGACAGAAAGTAGATTAGTGGTTTACTAGAGCTGGGGAGAGGAGACAATTGAGGGAAGGTAGTGACTAAAGCCCTTTCTTAAAAGTTAAAAATATATATTAATATATTGAAATACTGATGTGAGGAATATTTTAGCTGTCAAAATCATCTTCTAAATATTTATGAATCAGGGAGGGTGGGCAAAGTATTGGGGAGTAAAATCGATCAATTATATTTTTATGCAATATAAATACGCTACAACAAAACCTGCCATTCTGTATAATTAATATGCACAAAGAAAAAAGAAAAAAACAATGAAAATATTTATGAATCCTTAAAGCATAAGCTGGAAACTATAGATTTCTTCACAGAAATAAAACACTAAGATTAATTACATGTGGCGTTATGGGAACACAGAAACCTATGTATTGGTTTCATAATTCATGGGTCCTCCTTTTTAGCACTTTTATTATCATTTTCAACCAATTTATGAACATCAACTGAAATCCACATGAACAAAATGAAATTGAAAATGTAATCTGGCTGAAGATGATTACAGCTTGTGGGTTGCAGATAGTATAAAAGAGAACAGAGTTGTTGGTAGACGTTTCATAGGGTAAGAGACCCCCTTCCCTGCCCTTTCTACACATACTTGGTAAGGCAAATACCTCTTAAGAAGGCGGAAAAGAAGATGTATTTGTAGTCAAAGAACTTAACAAACCATCTCTGAAGAAGATATTTCTTATCACTATTCTTTTTCATGTAATTTTTTTTATTTCTATATGACAGCAGAATGCATTACAATTCTTGTTACATATATAGAGCACAATTTTTCATATCTCTGGTTGTATACATAGTATATTCACATATATTTGTGCCTTCATACCTGTACTTTGGATAGTAATGATCATCATATTCCACCATCATTAATTACCCCCATGCCTTCTCCCTTCCCCTCCAACCTTTCTGCCCTATCTAGAGTTTGTTTATTCCTCCCATGCTCCCTCTCCCTATCCCACTATGAATCATCACTAGCAATTAGAGAAACGCAAATCAAAACCACTCTAAGATTTCATCTCACTCCAGTCAGAATGGCAGCTATTATGCATACAAAAAAAAAACAATAAGTATTGTCGAGGATGTGGGGGAAAAGGTACACTCATACACTGCTGGTAGGACTGCAAATTGGTGCAGCCAATATGGAAAGCAGTGTGAAGATTTCTTGGAAAATTGGGAATGGAACCACCATTTGTCCCAGCTATCCTTCTCTTTGGTCTATACCCAAACGACTTAAAAACAGCATACTACAGGGACACAGCCATATCAATGTTTATAGCAGCACAATTCACAATAACTAAACTGTGGAACCAACCTAGATGCCCTTTAATAGATGAATGAATTTTAAAAATGTGGCATCTTATCACTATTCTTATAGGTTAGTTTTGTGTAAAATTGTTAGGATATTAATAGCCACTGCAAGGGCATATGTATATACTTAAATTATTCAAAAATACACACTTTCACTTTTGTTTTAGAAGGAACTAGAAGTATAGAATTTTGGAGAAAGCATCCAATTACTTTTGGTCTAGGTGTAGAAGGTTATATAAAATAGTAAATGAGATGAGTGAAGTTTATTTCGGTAGGTTATTGCCTTATCCATCAGTTGTTCCTATGAAGGTCACAGTGAGGTTGGAAAGGGTGGGAGCTATGTTAGAAACAGATGAGAACCATCCAAGTGTCACATCCCTATTTTATTTGAAGCAACTTATTTTCAACTAATAGTGGTATTTTAATATACAAGGGAGATCCTATTATAAATACAAGATAAATTGTGTCTACCTAAGATGGATTCCCTTTGTTAATATACATGACATCCAATAAAACTCGAGTCTAGCTACCCATTTGAGAAGAGTATAAGTATTGATAGATCAGTTGTAACCAAATTTAGGTATTCAAACAACAAATAGAGTTACTTTGGATTGAACAAAA